CTCAGAGAGAAAATTCCAGTGAATAAGATGTTCCTCTCTTCTAAGCTCCTGATGACCAATCTTAATAAGAGTTTCATTAGCCAATTGAATATTACCACAAGTGTAGGTAATGCGCCTAATGAGACCATACTTCGAGGTGCTAGTTTGATCAAAGATCTCCTTATTTCTTTCCCCCCACAAACACCAAGTTATCACCCCAAAATACAAAGGCCAAGTTCGATCAGTTTGAAACGGACCTTTTAATCCTAGATTTGTCTGAATCCATATGAAGATCCATGGAGAAAAAGTCACTACGGTTATCAAAAGGAACCCAATGCTCCCATAATTCCCTGGCACCAGGACAATCTCTAATGGCATGTAAACTATCCTCAAGATTATAATGACATCTCAAACACGCTGCATCTGTAGCCATGTGACGATGCACTCTACGAACATTAGTAAAAAGAGAACCTTTGTAGAGAAGCCATAAGAATTGTCTAATACGTTCAGGACCAGGCCAAGCCCAAATTACCTTCCAAATCCTATCTTGATGATAATGCAAGGTACCCATGAGATAGTTATAAGCTGATTTCACTGAAAAATGGCTACCTGCCCAAATAACACGGTCCGGAGAAGGATCCACTGTAGGAGGGAGCACACTATGAATCTTGTTTAATACTGAAGTAGGAAGAATTAAATAAATATTCTAAACACTTGGTAGAATATTATATAAATTTGTATATATTTTAATAATTAAATAAATAACCTTGTACACTATTTTTTTTTCAAACACTTGGTAGAAGTATATATTTTAATATGACATTAAGTATACTTATTTATAGATGAGTTAATCTACTTTGGTGTCATCTTTATAGTTTCATTGTTGCAAATTTGAATTGTGTTTGTGAGAGATAAAATATATCAAATGAGATGTCATTGCGTAGATCTCGAAAAGTTATGTGGAATCAAAAAAAGAATTACCTCATTCGAATATCCGAGTCAAAAGTTATGACCTTATAAAGTTTTACGGTTAAATTATTTTTTTTGTGACACGTGTCATTATCAGACGAGTCACGCCTAATTTAGTTGTAAATTCCTTGGAAGTCACGTCTAATTTGGGCGCGAATAGTCACGCCTAATTTGGGCGTGAATAACTGCAATAGATTCGTAGATAGTTTCGAAACTGATATATTTTCGTAATTATTTATTAAAATAATAATTTTTTAATTTTTTTTGCCACTTGATGGATGTGTTTCCTGCACCAGTTAAGTTTGGTCCTGGCTAAAAATAATAATATTTAATTCTAGCATATTATCTCTTAACTAATATTGTTATTTTTATCCTATGGTGTGTTGTATTTAAAATATAAAAGTTACAAAGGATTGGCTTAATGGCTGCGAGAATGTATATATTCTTTATGTTGACAACTTATATATTTTTTTTTTGGTATATACTTATATTTGAATCTTGAGCAAGCACGTATATAGGAGAATTAATTAATTTTTTAAAATATATTTAGTTGGTACGAGAACATTCTTTTATGATTGCTTGAAAAAAATATTTAATCTCGATTAATATAAAAGTTGACCATAAAATTTTGTTATTGTACAAATTAAAAAAACATTAAAACTTATCATAATTTTTTTATTTAAACTAAGAGATTAATATTTCTCCTGCAAGATGTAGATAATTTTATCTCATGCACTTATATAAAAATGTATGGAGCTCTATGAAAATAAAAGAGAAAAAAAAATAAATCATATCTATATAAATAACTTAAACTCATATCAAAGTGAATGGAGTCCTATGACAAAAGTAGAAAGAAAAAGAAAAATTAATTTATATTTATTTTTTATGAGGACAGAAATTATATTCATTCTTATATAAGTGCAACATATAAAATTATTTTTATTTTACTAGAGAAATATTTATTTCTTAAATTAATCAAAATATAATTTAAATTACACTTGAAAAATTACTTCCTACACTTTCCTCACTAGACATTTTGATTGTTAAAAAAGAAAGTCAGAAAGGAATGTTTAATTTATGGGGATTAAGTCTCTACTGTTGTAAAAAAAAATGTAGATTCCTGCAGACACAATTTTTCATTCAATCCACTATTTTAAAAAAAAAAAAAACACAAATAATATGGCACGTTTCTCCGTAAATCAGCAGAAAAATAGTTTCTAAATCCTGGAACATAAGAATTGAATTTCCGTTAATTTATCAGACTAAACAATTGATGTGTGACTTGCCCTAAGCCAAGTTGCCAACCCCGAATTCGATAAAAGTTGGAAAAAAAGTCTAACTTTGTTTGGGCAATCGGTGGATAGTTATTCCGTAACGAGGAAGGATTAAAGTGGCTTGGTTTGTCTAATATCAAACTAAATTTATTTGAGATTAGAGAAAAAAAACCTCGCTTGTTCGGGTAATTGGTGGATAATTTCTTCCGAATTTTTTTGTACATTTAGTTTATTTAAAAATGATTTTTGTTTGAAATTAGAGAAAGCACGATCCGCTAGGCAAGTTGCCTTTCCCAATTTGGAGAAAGTAGAGATTTTTTTTTTGAAAAAATATTAATCTGTTTAAGCATCTAGTATAACGTGCACGTATAGATATTTCTTAATTTAAATAAAGCATAAAAAGCAAAGGAAAAAATATCTATCTTTTTAGAGGATATAAATTTATATCTTTTTAGATCCTAACCGTTGATTTCCGTCCATCAACAGTTATAATCTATTGGGTCAAACTTAATGGGTCAAATTTATTATTAATCAATTAATAATTTTAATCCAATAAATTATAACCATTGATGGACGGAAATCAACGGTTAGGATCTGAAATAATATAAGTTTATATCTTTTAAAAGGATAGATATTATTCCCAAAAATAAAATTAAAAGCTAAAAATATATATATATATATATATATAATTAAATAAAATAAGTATAAAAAGCATAGATTAAAGAAATAAAATAAAAGTTATAAAGAATAACATATACATAAATAAATTTGGTATTTTAAAAAAAGTTAAGTAATTGACATGTGTCACTTTTTTTCATTTTAAATAAATTTTGTATTCAATGCAAAAGTTAATAGTTCAATGCAAAAAAAATAAAAATAAATAAATTTTGTATTTTATTTTCAAAATTCACTTCAAAAGTGAATTCTCCCTTAAATTAAACATAAATATTTATTATGTAGTATATGAACTTTTTAATAAATTAAGAAAGGAATTATTTCATAAAAGATAAAACATGAAAAAAATATTGTATTACTTTAATGAAACGGCTTTTCTTGTGAAGTAATCTTATTAATATTCCATACGTAACATATTAGATATTTTTATATATTCATAATATATAAATACATCAATGCCATATATATATATATAATATGTTGTATTATATCCGTTTTTATACTTCTTAGGCATTAACGTTATTTAAAAGAATCGCATCCAAAATCGATCAATAAGAAGTTTAGTACAATTAGAGTTGGCAAATTATTGAATTTTTTTTGGGTACAAATTATTGATTTTGTTTGTACTTAAACGGACTATAAAGTATTTAAGCTGATCCTTTAACCTAATTTTTTATTTATTTTATATAAATAAAGTTATAAAAAAATATTTATTTTAAAATAATTTAAAATTTTAAACATTTAAATTGACATTTAAATCAACAATTAATAATCATAATAACTAATTATGATATTTTTAAAAATATGTAAACCGATTCAACCTTCTGTAAACGTCTGGTCAGTTAAATCCGATGTTGTTAAACTCGACCCGGGCATCGACCCCGTCGAGGTACTGGGTCACTGGTCAGACCGGTGGGTCACCGGTCGGACCGGTTGACCCGAATATATATAAATATATAAAAATATATATAAATATGAACATATAAATTCAATTATATCTTCCATATCTAAAATAAATTAAACAAGGTTCACTAAATAAGTTAAAAAAATGAAGCATAAATAAATAAAAATGCATGTTATTACTATGTCAATTTAAATGGCAACTCAGAATCCCCATAAACATACCTCTCAATGACATTGAACTCATATTTTTCAAATTCAACTACATTAAAATGACATATGTCACATTCTCTAATTTATTATTCCACAAATTGCTTTAGTATTGAAAACTAAGAGGTCATTGTAGAAGAGTATACTAACAAATAAAATTATAAAAAGTTGTTAAAATGAGTTTTACATTTCTTTTATAAGATGAAACAATTTTGGTTTTTCTTTTTCTTTTCAAATGCATGACCCGACCGGGTCATCGGGTTTGTCCGGATTTTGACCGGGTCGATGCATGACCGATCCAATGCTTAACCCGAACCAATCTGATGACCGATTCGCCAGGTTCCGAGTCAACCCGACCGGGTCGGGCCGGGTTTGACCACACTGGTTAAATCCAACTAAGCTAAGTCAATTAATGTTATATTTGACAATTTGACATAAACTAACTTTTTTATTTAATAATTAGGTGAGGAATGAGTCACGTGAGAGTTTCAGATATTTTGGGTAGAGGAGATTACAATGTGCGGCGTAGAGCGTAGAGCGTAGAGAGAGGTAGGTAGGTAGACAGTGAGGGATGATGAAAGCGAGGAAAAAGATTAATTTAAATTATATTAAATAAATGAGACTTATGAGTGTGTATGACCATTGCATTGGTGCAAGCGAGGAAAAAAGAGAACGGAAGGAAAAGTGAAGTCAATCGTGGCCACTGCATATTTGCCGAACAAATCTTTGCTACTCCTATAATATCTTACATGTGGCTAAAAAAGTTAAAAAAATTAGGGTTTAAATAAATAATAAAATAATTATTGGTTAAATGAAAATAAAAATTTCCTTTTTTAAAAAAAAGGGAGTAGTAGCATAGCACCAAAGAAAAATTTCTATTTGCCAAACAATATGTTAAATTAAATATCTCCCAGTGGGCCCCATTCATTGGACGGACACAATATCACTTTAAATATTGCCCTAGTGCATCTTTAGCAGCCTTGCCCCCATCTCTCACTCCATCCAACTCCTCTTCACACAAATTCAGCGGTTTCTCTTCTCCCAGGTACCTCTCTCTCTCTCTCTCTCGCTTTTCTGTTCTGTTTCTCTCACTGAATGTGATGGTTTTCTCCCATGTTTAAGCTCGAAATCTTGCTTTCATTTCCGTTTTCACGCTAGATCTGAACAGTCCCGCTCCCCGCCCTCAGTTTTCTCGGCTATTTTAGATCTCTGCGATTCTATTTACTTCAGCATCTAATTTTTGCTCTCTCTCTTCTTCTTTTTCCAAATATTTCACGTCGTTTTGTCGATTCTTTCGTCATGCGGTTGCTTTCTTTGATTCTATTGTAATATATTTTTTCGATTAACAAACCTGTTTGTATTTGCATTTATTTTGTTACGTCCGGTGGTTCTCTCTTGGATCCAAGTAGATATCTCTTTCCGGTTTTTGCCCGTTCTCTCAGGAAACGGCAAAGTTTTGTTCCTCCTTTCATGATATTATCGTTATATTAATTATATAATATTATTTTTTCTGTTAAACTTTTAATTACTATCTTTCACGAATCTGGAACAATTTTGCGATTGCAGATCTCATTTATTCACTATTAATTTCTGTATGCATTGGCAAACGAAACTCATGACTGCTTAGGATTTGAGTGATTATTTTGGTCCTTTTTTGATTTTTTTTTCTCTCTCAGCCTATATAGTGATATGATGAATGTACCTGATGATAGATTTGGATCGTTTGATTGGTAATTTATGGATATATTCGGATTCTCTATTCCAAGCTGAGTTAAAAAAATCTCTGCTAAACGACCATTTTATTGTTTAGGAGAGTTGATGTGCAGTTTTGCATACTTTTATTCGCAGGTCCTCTTTCTATATTTTTATTTATTTTGGTTTATATCACAACTTGTGATATGTTATTTTAGTTATCCTTTTTAATACCTATCTGTCATTATAGGCATTATTTAATATCTTTAAATGATAATCTCAATTAATTTTTATATTTTTTCTCTTGAAATTTATATGAACTATCCTTTGTACAATAGTGGTTGGTAAAATATACATGGAATAAGTTATCCCTGTAAAGTTATATTTTTTGGATTATAATTTAATGTTATATTTTGTATGAATGATTTTCCGAATTATAATCTAAATAATATAATATGTCCAGTTATTCTGGATTCACTATGTGGACGGTTTTACCGAAGTGGGAAATGTATCTAACCATGTGACACTAGCTTTGTTCCACTCGGCAGCTTTAATGTGTGGAGACGGATTTTCCTTTATAATTCATACGAAGTGGGAACTTATTTATATGAACTATTTTTAAACCAAACCTATATTTTCCCTAACGAATGTATTACTTTGTGAGACAGGATATATATACCATAAAAAAAGGTTACAATTTTTACAATCAATCTAATCATTGTTGATTTCTGTCAATCTACAATAATTTTCAATAAATTATAACCGTTAGATTGACGAAAATCAACGGTGATTAGATTAGTTGTAATTTTTTTTTTATGGCAAGTATATTCTTTTCTCTTATTTTGTTAGGTGAAATTAAGAAAAGGTATTGATAAATTATTAGAATTTTATTATTTTAATTGAAATATTTAGACAAATTTAATTACATTTTTAGATTGAAACTGCCACGTTTGTTTTCGACGAAGAAAGCTTTGAATTAAATTATTTTTAACATTAAAAGTCTGTGTGTTTAGCTTACTATATTTTGTAGTTAAATATTTTGAATCAAACTATTTTAAAAAGAGTATTTTAAAATATACATCGGTCGAACAGTGCGAAATAAAGAAACGTAAACTATTACCAAAAGAGAGAGAGTAAACCAAATGGTGGTAGCTCAGTTGACGCGTAAATTGAAAAGAGGAACACTAATCAAAATGTCACTGTTTATCAATTTTTTTATCTGCTTATCACTGTTCACCAATTTTTTTACCTGCTTCTGAAATATATTAAAAAATAACACTATTCACGTGACATTTAAATAAAAAATTTGATGAACAGTGAGATTGAGTGGTAAGAAGTTTTAATGCAGGTATTGTTGATTATTGTACCGCTGAAAGGGCCTGAAATAATTTAATTTTGATGCGCCATTCAACAGATGGGTCTTCCTATAATATTATTATATTCATTATTTTATAGATGTCCTTGTTCATGTGGGTCCGCTTAAGATTTATTTTTGGTAATTGGTACGCCTGTTCTGCATTGCCTGCAGAATATCTCTGAAAAACAAGGATCGCGATGTCTGTTTGTGTTCTTGACTGATGCGTTTGCAAGCTGTATTTTGTTTTAGCTTTGATAAATTATTCAAACAAATTTGTCGGATTTTGGACATCTCATTGTTTAGTCATGTGCATTTATTTATGGTTGGACCACCACTACGCAACGTATAATCAAATCCACATATCAACTTGGAAGAAAGAGCTTATAGGAATTTCTTATGCCCCGTGATGTGATCTATTAGGTTAAAGCTGCTTTTTTAGCACTTACATACTTGCTTCGAAGGAGGAAAGAAAGTTGGTGGCGGTCCATATTTGAAAGGAGTATTATTTTTTAGCATCCACTTTTACGCCTTTTATTTATATTTATTTAGGAAAATCATTTTCTCAAAGATAGATTTTCAATGTTACGAGAAATCGAAAATTATGCTGTTCTTTTTGTTTTTGTTTTTTTTAAAGTAACAGGTCCCACCACTTATTGTATTTATGACATGAGAGATAATATCTTATGTGATATGAGAAAGGAGAAACCCATTTATTTATGGGCTTCTCTATTTTTATGTGTAGGAGATAAATTATCTTTTATTATAGTTACATAATAGTGGAGTCTATCACTTAAAAAAAATATGCAATATAATTTTTAAAGAATGTGTAGGAAGAAAAATTACTCTCTTATAATATGAAAGTAATTTTTTTCTCTTATTTATTTATTGTTAAACCTAGAAAATATTATTTTATTTTATTATGTTTAGATGTAGTGCATGAATGAAAATGAAATAAGTGAAACTTTATTAACATTTATGAATAATGAATATTCATGATATGAAATATAAATACAGAATTTTTAATTTCACGAGATTATGCAAAAACTGAATGTTCATTCCCATTGTTTTCATTTTGCTCTTCGATTACGATGGCCCGCTAATTGTTGGTTGTAATTAATATCTATTTTATGTTAACGGGTGCTGTATTGTTTCCCCTTGGCACATGGGGAGTATGGAGATAAAAAGTAATGAACCTGAAAACGGTAATGAGAAGAACACATCTTGGTTACTGTTGTTGAAGTGTTTGCTGGAGGCAGTGGAGAATTTTTCTTTCAATTAATGAAGATTTTGCTTTGAAGAGCACACACATTGTTCATTCTATTTTTATTTTATTTTTTCGTTGAGAAACTATTACATTATATTTTATTCTTGTTCATGCAAATTGGTAGACTCTGTTCAGTCTTGGTTACTGTTATGTTATGTGCAGGTTGCGTGAAGATGGGGGCTGGTGGCCGAACCTCTGTTCCTCCTCCCAACAGGAAGTCAGAGGCTGACGCTGTGAAGCGGGTGCCGTTTGCAAAACCACCATTCAGTCTCAGCCAGGTCAAGAAAGCTATTCCACCTCACTGTTTTCAGCGCTCTGTTATCCGGTCATTCTCCTATGTCGTTTATGACCTTACCATAGCCCTCTGCCTCTATTACGTAGCCACCCATTACTTCCACCAACTTCCTCGTCCTCTCTCTTTCTTGGCCTGGCCAATCTACTGGGCTATCCAAGGTTGCATCCTTACCGGCGTTTGGGTCGTTGCGCATGAGTGTGGCCACCATGCTTTCAGTGACTACCAGTGGCTTGATGATACCGTTGGCCTTGTTCTCCACTCTGCTCTCCTAGTCCCTTACTTTTCATGGAAATATAGCCATCGCCGCCACCACTCCAATACCGGTTCTCTTGAGCGTGATGAAGTCTTTGTACCGAAGAAGAAGTCCGGTATTGAGTGGTACTCTAAATACCTTAACAACCCCCTGGGCAGAGTCCTCACACTTACTGTTACCCTCACTCTTGGTTGGCCTCTGTACTTGGCTTTTAATGTCTCGGGCAGGCCTTATGAAAGGTTTGCTTGCCATTTTGACCCATACGGTCCCATTTACACAGATCGTGAACGACTTCAAATATACATATCAGATGCGGGAGTACTTGCAGTATGCTATGGGCTTTTCCGTCTTGTCATGGCAAAAGGGCTTGCCTGGGTTGTTTGTGTTTATGGAGTTCCATTGCTAGTGGTCAATGGATTCTTGGTTTTGATCACATTCTTGCAGCACACTCACCCTGCATTGCCGCACTACGATTCCTCTGAGTGGGACTGGTTGAGAGGAGCTTTAGCAACAGTGGATAGAGATTATGGGATCCTGAACAAGGTCTTCCATAATATTACAGACACTCATGTGGCGCATCACTTGTTCTCCACAATGCCACATTATCATGCAATGGAGGCCACAAAGGCGATAAAACCAATTTTGGGAGAGTATTATCGGTTTGATGGGACCCCATTTTACAGTGCAATGTGGAGAGAGGCAAGGGAGTGTATTTATGTTGAACCAGATCGAAGTACTCAGAGCAAAGGTGTGTTCTGGTACAACAATAAGTTGTGATGATTATAGCTGCTGCATCTTCTTGTTCGTCAGGTGGGAAGGATTTAACTTTGCTTTCTGACAAATTAGGATGTTTGCTTATTGGGAATAATTTTGTTGAACCCTTATATTGGTATTTGTAACAAGACTGTAGGATAGTGGTTTGCTTGATTGCAGAATAAGATGTAGCATCTCTGAACGGTTCGATTGTTGCACCATGATTTGAAATCAGTGCTTGTCGACCTAGTTTCTCAAGATAGTACCAATTTGTCTATCTCTTGAGAAGCCTATTCTTATTCTATTTCTTGATGCCTAGTCATTCTCATGTTCCGTGATTGACTCGGAATTCCGAACCTTGTCTGTTACTTTCTGAAGTGTAAGTTTACTGCTTGTTATAAAAGTTTTAAATGTATTACTACCAATTGATTCATTCCAAATTTGGCCGGGGGTTGCGCAGATGATTAAGAGTAGCTTTATTGAATCTGCTTTTCATGAAGTAATAAGGCGCTTCTTCCTTCAAAAATATTACTTCATTACAAACCAAACTTTTGCCCTTGATTGAATGCAGAGAATTGTGACATGATCCAAAGTGAAAAGTATGATTAAGACAGAAGGGAAATTTATGTACACATAACATTTTTCACGGGTTCCCAATCATCATTTCATTTAGTATGATTAAGACAGAAGGGAAATTTATGTACACATAACATTTTTCACGGGTTCCCAATCATCATTTCATTTAGTATGATTAAGACAGAAGGGAAATTTATGTACGCAACATTTTTCACGGGTTCCCAATCATCATTTCATTTTCCCCTTCTGCCTATTATTTACATCCTCAAAACCACTTCATTACTAAAGAAAAGTGCCCTTGATTTATGTGCCAATTAATGTTCCACATTATAGTAGTGACATTGAATTGATCGTTAAATGAAGAAATTGATTATATAAATTATTAATGAATTACTAATTTAATATTCAACAAAAGAAAAAGAAAAAGTAGTAGTATAATATTGGTAATGAGAAGGGTTATATTTACAACTTTTTTTTTTTGTTTACAACTTTTACAACCTCAATTATGTACTCCAAGGAATATAAATTCTTCTGAATACTTCAATATTTCTTATAATTTTACATAATTATAAAGTAGTTTTTATATTATCAATCATTCATGTGATTTTAAATCATTAAAGAGTTTGAATCTATGATTTCTAATAATGGTTATTAAAACTTGGATGAAACCAGTTGGCTGACCATAGTAGCTCACTCTCGTCGCCCGTATGAAAATCCACCAAGGTAGTTCAAGCGAAAGAGGGAGGCTAGCATCCAAAATTGCACAAAGGGAGAGCTTCAGAGCCACTTCACGAAGAAATAGGGTGCTCGCTGCTGACAAAACACATTCATTTTTCCTGCTTCTGTACTACAAATTGGCCTATTGAAAAGAAATGGGCCTATTCTCTACGGCCCATACGAACTATTTTATAAAAATTGTATATACAATTAGGACCAAAAGCTCTATACCCAAAATTCTTATTATTGCCTTGTTTTCAATATTTCTTCTCATTTATATTTTTTATTAGTATTTACATGTTTATTTAGTTACATGTGAATCAACATGTTATTTATTGGTTGAATTAGTAATCTATTACAAAGGGTCCTAATAATTTATTTTATTTTATTAATTCATCGTGAGCATGATTTTTTATAATATAATAATAATTTGATGATAGTATAACAAAAGTTTATACAATAGTTGATAAAAATTTATTCATAAATTTAATTCTTGCACGAACTGGAGTGAGTATGGCATGTACCAAGTACTAACCCATCTTCACAAGACAAGAAAATGGTAAAAATTAAATCACAACTTTAAATCTTAAAGCTTAGCTGGCATCAGTTTAAAGTTAAAATGGGCCTTTGTGCCAGCACCCGATAAAAAATTTTAGCGTAGTCGGGGAACCCCACAGAACATACCTACTGTGTTTAGATTAGGTGCGAAAAAACATTTGATAATTGATTATGGAAAATCTTGTATTTACAATTTTTTTTTTTACAAATTATACTATATATTTTTAGGAATACATTCCTAGCTTAGTTTATTTCTAAAAATGCATAATTGAGTTTGTAAACAAAAAGTTTATAAATATAACATAACTCATTGATTATATATAAAATCAATTCTCCTAAAACAAAAGTTGTTTACGAACGTTTATTCAAAATTTAATGAGAAGCTTTTAACTCGTTTAAATTCCGGACGAGAGAAAAATAACGAAGGTCAATTGAGGTTTTGATATAATGGTATTAAAAAATAGTAGGTAGAGTAAACATGAAAAAAAAATAAACATAATATCCTTTTCCATAAAATTAATATATTTTATTTAAAGTTTATTTTCACAACTTTGTGAGGTGTTTCAAAGTTTTACTTCATAAAATTTAGTAACTATAAAGTATTTTAGTAAGTTTTGAATTTCTACAATATAAACAAAGTTTGACTTCGACAAATTTAGTTTTCAGCTGAATGCATTTGGGAGGCTGTGATGATACTGAGATGATCCCAGCTATAGTACGAGATGCTGAGGATGAGGATATGGATGAATGAGGGCACCATTAGCTCATTGTCGGCTCCACATTTTCGCATTTTCTTTCTTTTTCGGTTATTTACTTTTATTTTGACTAGTATTTTGATAGGGTGATGAGCTAACCCTGTGATATGCATTTTGATGTTCGCTCTGATGACTTATGGTTTTGGATTGATCTATGTTGTTTCAGAGAGAACGACTAGTTGTTCTTATTTCTCACGCGATTTCTTTTGAGATTGAAATATGTTGCTGGGGACAGTAACATTTAAATCTGAGAATGGGGAACGCGCGATCCATCTAAGCACAATGGATTGAGCCGGAGGAACTTCATAGTACACACAGAATATTCGGCTGAGACAGAGAACTATCTCAAATCCCTTTTTTCCTTATTTTAGTTTAATTTTAATTCTGGTTAATTAAAAAAATCATTCTTTATTTTTTAGTTTGTTTTTGAAAAGCCCCAAGCCATTATTTTTGTGAAATTTTTAAAAATTTCTCAGTGCAAATAAATAGAAGATTTGTAGAAAATTTGATCAGTGATTTGATTCATAGCATGATGATGCAATTTCTTAATTTTTAATAATGAGCATCAATGTAATGATTTTCATGATTCATCGAATATTCTCTTTAGTGATGAAATTGTTTTGAGATAAAGACCAGGAAAAATACTGTGCATTCATAAGTCGTGAGGTTTTGAGCCTATACAAAATTTTTTATTGAGTGTGCATTCCACTGTTGAGATCCTCTAGAACTTGCTTTTTTTCTTTCTTGAAATGGTCTGCGATATATATTGTAGAGATGATTGAGGCATGTTCTTTCTTTAACTAGATGGCCAAATAGCTAACCTTTGTTGATATTCCTTAGTTAAGCCCCTCTGAGCCTAGACTTGTTATTCATTGAAAACCCTTGAATATGAATAGTCACTTCCCAAATAAATTCTCACCTTAATTGAAGATTAAAGTTCAGATTTGAAGTAAGGAGTGGATGTAAATTGTGGTTACACAGGTTTTTGATGTATATAAGTACAAGTAAAAAGGGCAATGCCAAAGGAAGTAAGATTGGTTAGAACAAAGAAGAGTAAAAAAATTACTCAAGAAAAAGGAAAGGACAAGAAGTGAAATGTTCTTAGAAAGGGAATGACAAAAGAGAAAAGTTCAAAAGAAGAAGAAGAAAGAACTGAAAGGAAGAAGAAAAGTGTTTACAAATGGTAGACAAAAATTCACACTTTTTCCTCTTTGAATCTGGATTTTAATCTTGAAACTCGTTCCTAAAGATTTTCTCTTCCTTTAACCAAGCCACAATACAATCCTGATTAAGACCTCTTGATCTGCTTGATTTATCATAAGAACTGTGGAGAGTGAGAATATAAGCAAGCCTATGGTAGTGTTGATTCAGTGGAAGAAGAGTGAAACACCAACCCTTAGACAGTTGAGTGTGAGTGAATTGAAATCCAAGTGAGGGAGTGTTTCAGAAATTTTTCCTTGTTCTTAATCTTGAAGAATTTCATTGAAATTTTTAACTGTTGAATTATGAATCTTGTTGTTTGATGTATCATTCTTTTAAGTCTGAATGCTCTGTAATCTTGTCTCTGATTGAATCCTTTCTATCAATTCCATGCAATTAAAAGGTCCTGCTTGATTTCTCGTAGTTTATTCTAAGTTGATTGTTGAGGACAATAATATTCAAATCTGGGAATGGTTGATAAACCATTGGTTTACCATGGTTTTAGGCTTAATTATACAAGAAATATATCATGAATTGCATGGAAATTAGGGTTTTACACCATAAAATCGTAAAGATTGAATATCTAGCTAACATCTTGTAATATTTCTTATTCCAAGGGATTTCTACGTCTATCAAGGCTTTATATAGCCAAAGGAACGCAACAAGATGATTGAAAGCCTCAACGAAGCAAGATTACAAGTATCTGCAAGTTGAAAGAGAGCGTTTTAGCGTGCTACAGCGCGTTAAAATGCTATAATGAAGGAAAACAATCAAAACTCACTGGAGGAGAGCGTTTTAGCGCCAAACAGCGCGCTAAAACACGCCGATAGCATCAACTTACCCTTCGAAGAGGGCATTTTAGCGCCCAACAGCACGCTAAAACGCCCTAAGGCAGACAAGAATGCATTAAGAGAACGTTTTAGCGTCCTAATAGCGCTCTAAAACGTCCTGATGCGGTCAAATTCAGGCTCATGATAGATTTTTTATCTGAATCAAGATATGAACGAGATTTCACGAAGATTAGAAGAGAAATTAAAAAGATATATTCTCATCTATAAATGGAGGGCCTTGGGACCAATTAAATCATTCATTCAACAACTGAGAGACGTCTGAAGAAGCACAAGGAGGAATCCTGTTGCGGAGCATTGGAACACTGAGAAACCAAGTCAACATCACACCAATGGAGGCTTGGGGTTTTCTTTTCTTTATTATTGTTTTTCAATTCATTATGCTAGGCTAAGTTTTTTTGTAGTTAGGGGTAGATGGAACCTAATTGAATCGTATATCTTTAATTAAATTGTCTCCGAATTCTTTTCTTTTTATAGTTGAATAAATTTATCTGTCTTTAATGCTTTCTATGAGTTTTCTCCTTATAGATTGATTTAAGGGAATTGTATGATAATAGGGATGTTGGTGCATGAACCCTGACTTGGTAAATTTATCACAATACTTGTGATCTAGGGATAGACATAGGGCAATTGTGCAATTTTAAATTCTTGATCTTAATGCATGTTTTCTTGGGGAATAATCGGGGAACTAGAGTTCTTTCAAGATCACATAGATTTACAGTAT